GTAAAATAATCACACAGTGACGCCTCTGCCTTCGTAAACGGAGGGACAGTAACTGCGTGTAAAACCTGCAGATAAACAATGTAAACAATAACGTGGCGCACAGCGTGACGTGGATTTAGGCACATACCTTGTTGCATGACGAACTCTGTATTCCTTGTCCACACGTGAACCAAAAAAAGGAGTTTAAAAAAAATCTCCGTTTTCGGTGATTCGAAACGTCGTTTACGTGTGAACGAAACAGCTGCGTGTTCAAAAACACCCGTGTAGGTGCGGACGCAGCGTAAAAGAGTTCGTAGTTTATTTTCTTACTACCTGTAATTTATTGCAGATTACTTGTATTTTTGTAATTGTTTACCAAATGTTTGAGGTGTGAAATAAACCGCAACGGAGCAAAATATGGGTGCGTGTGGTTGGAGGATGTGTGCGTGCGTGCGCGTGCATGCGTGTGCGCGCGCATGGGGGGTGGGGCGCGAACATTTTTCTTGTAAAACAAAGGGGGGCCCTACGGAAGCGTAGAGCTGCCACCCAGGCAAAAGAAAAATACAAGTGTATCACGTTATAACGTGAAAGGTTTATTGTTCTAACAAGATACTTTTCCTGTTTGTACAATATACCTTTCACGTTTGAACAACATAATATCACGTTATTACAATATACATAATTATCACGTTCGTACAATATTGTACGAACGTGATAATTATGTATATTGTACGAACGTGATAATTATGTATATTGTACGAACGTGATAATTATGTATATTGTAATAACGTGATAATTATGTATATTGTAATAACATGATAATTATGTATATTGGGTGGCAGCTCTACGCTTCCGTAGGGCCCAGCAAAAAAGGGAACCACTGATTAATGGGAGAAATGATAGCCTGTGTTGACAGCACAGTGATGATGAGTAATGCAGTTTACCAGTAACCATCACTCACAGGCAGGCAGGGAGATAACAGCTATCTCAGTCACATTTCACTCTGGTATGTGACAGTCTGCACTTGAGGATCAAGCATGCAGTTGTTCTTAGTCACACCAGAAGGGCCAGCTGGGCTGAGAG